CCTTGTGTTTTCAGCCCGTCTAACCTGCCTCTTGCTGGGCGAGAGCCTCCAAGGGGCTGGAGGAGAGAGTGGGAGGACAGATTAGGTGGCCACTGTGGGGTGGGGTTGCCCACTGAATGCGTCCTCTCCCTTTTTGTCCTTTCTCCACCTTGCTCATTGGAACAGTATGAACAGTCTTACTCTGGTGTTCGTTTGAATCCAGCCAGCCACCCACCTGGAGCTTCAGCCCCTCTGTGCGGTTCCATGCTGAGTAGGATAATTGCATTTTGCTATGTGCTGCACTGCACACAAGAGCATTGAGGCCTGCTTGTCTCTTGGGGGCCAGCTTCCCTTCTGTCCACGGACAGAGGCCAGGGTGGGCACCGCATGTGGCACGGTCTGTGTTAGGAGCACAGGCACGGAGGAGCCTGGGCCCCAGAATGCCCTCCCACCACCTCGGCACTCAGTAGCCACTCTGGGTCTGCCCAGTGAGCACACAGCATACTTCACAAAGCGCCTTCGTGTCTGTCGCTCGTGCCCTGCAGCCCTCAAGGAGTATGGCGATGTTATTAGCCTCGTCTAATAGAAGAGTAAATTACGGCTGAGAGAGAGAGTGGCTCACCCGCAGTTACCCCTAGTTTCAGTTAGGTCACAGCGCTAGAGCTTGGGTCCTCGGTTTCGCTGCTCCGCCACAGTTGTTCTTCCTGGTGGAAGTCTGGGGCGCGGGGCAGGCAGCAGTGTTGCCGTCCCGCCCTCCACCTGGTTCTCTGTGTTGGGCCTAGCTTCGTAGGATTTGTTGGGGTGAGCAAGGTTCTTACCGGAGTGTTCTTTGCCAGTGAGCACAGCTGACCTGAGAGCAGTGTCAGGTCCCTTTGGGGATGAGCTGGTCAGATTTGGTGGCAGCCTACCTCCCCTTTTATGTAGGGTCCTAGAGGGAGATGTTCCCCGGGTCTGGGGTGAGTTCAGGGCTCCAGAGTCCATTCCGCTCTGGCGGCACTTAAAGGCAACTTAGCTTTTTGAGTTGGGGATCGTTTCTCTTGCTGGCTGGAGCCTTAAGCTGCGTGGACAGCATCTTGACTGTACAAGGCCCTGGTTTTTTATCTCGATTCCTCTGCTGGTGTAACAGGGAGCACAGCCTTCCTATATTGTTCAGTCTGACTCACAGTTCGAATTCAGCCTCCTGATACAGTATATATTTAATTCAGATTTGCTCACAGGTGAATAAACAGCATTTGGTAAAGGCTTGAAGTTTTTATTTTGTCATCTGATAACACCTGGTGGACCGTGTCTTCTGTGTTAACTGTAAAAGTGTTCTTAGAAAGCCCCCTCCTGCTCAGCTTGAGTGTTTTTGTGTAGATTAACTCTTTAAA